CAACAAAGCAATGCATCTTTAGCAATACAATTGTGCAGAACTTGGATGAGGAACATAAAGCATGTGAGTAGAGACGTTTGTTTTGAATTCCATGATGATTTTTTTTTTCAATATATAAAATTATGTAGATTTAATTTTGGGAAAGTTGGCATGAAATATGTTGATTGGCGTCTTGAATTAAAATTCAATTATGAATTTTGCATAAGAAGTGAATTTGTAATGATATTTCTAGATTGAAATGCGGTCAAATCTGAATAGATAATGAGATATTACAAGCATTGTAGCTAGACATATAGTGAGTGGAATGCTGCAGTGCCATGGTGTATGTTTGCAATATATTATTCTCAGTGGTTAATTACTATCATCGCTAGAGGTAATGAGGTATACTCAGCAGAACAGTATACGGATTGTACATGTATTACAAGTTTTCATGATTGTTGATGTCTTTTTTTGTTTGTTAGCTCTTACTGATGAAGAGTCTGATTACAAGAGACTCAGAATATACAATGATATGGACAGCTATGAAGGACTTCCAAGTGTTGACTGTACTGACGGTGGCAGTGTACAACTCGCCATGAATGCCGATATTCATAGCCCTGACACCCATATCCAGACAGCTCCAACATTTAAGTTACCTGATACCTTTATCTATGGTAAGCAGTGACTTCATTATCTAACTTTACACTGTAGTTTCATATTTAACTCGACATTCATATTGCTGTGGTTGTCAAAATGTGTTGTTTTTGATGTGGATCCCACGCGAAATATACAAGTGATCTTGTGATACATGTATACGTACATTGTTTGCGAGACTATTGATAATTGCACGCTCGATGTTTTCCATCTATCATGGATCATTTGATCTAACAATTTGTTTTACAGGACTTCGAAATTGTTACTGGGCTGGACGGACACAGACTATAACGCGTGACAACGTGACTTATTATTTAGATGGTGCTCACACACCACGGAGTATTAGTGCTTGCGTGCAATGGTTCAAACAAGTATCAGCCCAAGAAGAACGCTTACTGAGGTATGTAGAATAAATGAGCTATTTGGATAGTGACTATCTCTAAACGGCCATCTTGAATCACCCATTTTAATAGCGTGCATTAACCATGGCCATTTTATTAGAAAAATATTGAGTAGTGATCATTTTTTCCTTTGCTGTCATTGTAGACGACAAATCTGAGATGTAGTCTCTCAATACTTGCCTTTTCAGCTCCTTCTAAAAAAAAACTACCAGCCGAATTGGTTTAATATGTTATATGTAGATACTATGTGTGCCCCTTGATCAGATTTGTTCATTTCGTGACGATATAATAAATTCTGTATTTTCAGCAATTATTTTTGGAAATAAGGATATTTTCACTTTCTCCTTTAAAACTACCAGCCTGATTGTTTTGATATTTGAGGTGTACATAATTTTTGTGAACAATTTGTTTGATGGAGTTTGGGTTGCATGTTTTTTTGCAGCCAGAACCAAACTACTTTTTTATCTCATGCATGTGAATTACTCAACATTACTTGGCTACCACAATGTTCGTGTAGGACAGCGGAGCTATTACGACCGTCCGGTTGCTTGTTATTGCTTGTACGTTCTTCATGGTGGCCATCTTGGACTTTTAAATAAAGGCGATTGATAGTATGGTTATAAAAAACATCTCTGTATTGGCCATCTTTATTTTCATTAGTGGCATTTTTGACATGCTTTAACAAAACATGAGAATGAACATTATTGTTGAGTTGGACAAAAGTTATTTTCTACTGTCTGTTACATTCTTTTCCACAATTAAAACTTCAAATAATAGTATAATCTTTGATTTTCTTGACAATATTTATATTTCTAAACAAAACAACTTGAGCAATGCACCTAATATTTGTTGTACTAATAATTTTTACAATATTCTCATAATAAACTGATCTCTATTTATGGATAAATATTGTATCATGTACTCTCATAAATCTTTGCATTGTTGAGCATTGTCAGCTTATTATTTCTTGTGATGTTTTGGGACTACTTTATTTGATGCATCAGAATACATACTTTTGTAATGGTGATATGCCTCCTGATCACACTGATACAGGTATGTCAATAGTAGTGCGGTTGATGTAACTCAAAATAGCCGTATAAACCATCAGTCAACCCTGAAAGCTCTCTGATTGATGTTTTGTGTATTCCACTACTTTCGTTTCTTTGTTATTTTCTACAGTGGTCGAGTTGTTCGTGTACTGGTGTTCAACTCTACTGGTGATCGTGATGAAAGGTCGCTGATGGAAGATCTTATTGATTGTGATTTCTCTGCTGCTGCCTTTTGTCCGAACATTGCTAGTGTTTATTATGGCCAGTCATCAGCAGGTAGGTCATCTCTAAGTGAATTCTGCCCTTTGTAGCGAATCAGTGTGCAATCGTATTGGAGAGTTTCCAGACACAGTGCCTTGTGTCCCTTTTGGACAGTGTCTAGGACGCTGGTACCTACATGTAGTGATTACTGTAAAATAATTAATTTTTAAATGGAATTTATTTTCACTATTTTTAGTCCCCGTTCGGACGTAGTCCGAAAACGGGGACTTATGTTTTGCCCTGTGTGCGTCCGTGCGTGCGTCCGTGATCACCTGTATCTTGAACATGCATGGACCGATTAAGTTCAAACTTCACTCATACATCACACATTATATGGGACATATGCACATGCTTTTTTTCCATGATCCAATTATCGATAGGCCGAATAACGGCCATTTTAAGGCCGAAAATGCATCAAAATCGCACATTTTCACCATTCCGGACCCGGATCTCAGTTATGCATGGACGGATTTTGTACAAATTTGGTACATACATTAAACATGATAGGACCTTGATGCACGTCATTTTTTTTTTTGGATCGAGTTTGAAAATGGCCGACTGGCGGCCATTTTGTTTTAAAGAATTCAGTTCTGGATCTGTATCTGAGACATGCTTGGATTGATCGAGTTCAAACTTCACACACACAAGGTACATCATGTCACAAATATGTATGTGCATTTGTTTCATGATCTCATTAACGATAGCCAAATGGCGACCGCTTTAAGGCCGAAAATGCATTGAAATCGCACATTTTCACCATTCTGGACCCGGATCTCAGTTATGCATGGACGGATTTTGATCAAATTTGGTACATACATTAAACATAATAGGACCTTGATGCACGTCTTTTTTTTTTTGGATCAAGTTAGAAATGGCCGACTGGCGGCCATTTTGTTAAAGAATTTAATTCTGGATCCGTATCCAAGACATGTCTGGATTGATCAAGTTCAAACATCACACACACATGGTACATCATGTCACAAATAGATATGTGCATTTGTTTCATGATCCGCTTAACAATAGGCTGAATGATGGCCATTTTAAGGCCGAAAATGCATCAAAATCCGTATTTTCACAATTCCGGAACCGGATCTCAGTCATGCATGGATGTATTTTGTTCAGATTTAGTACAATGTGTTGTACATATACAGGTGCATTTCAGTCATGATCTGCTTTGAATGTATATGTCATTCAAATATGAACAGAACGGGGACGTGTCATTGACAATGACTTGTCGCAGAGGAAATGATTCAGTGAAAATAAAATCCAGTGAATATACCTTTTTTTCCTATGTTTTACATTTAACTCATCAAAAAAAAGTGAAAATAAATTCCATACAAAACACACAAGAAGTTTTTTCAGTGAAAATTAATTCCTAACTAAAATAAAAGATTTTACATCTGGGCTGGAATTCTGGCCCTGGTTATATGTGAGTGAATGTATTAATTTTCTTTTCAAAGTTGTAATATTGCAATAATTTGTGTCATTCAGTTTACTGCCTTTGACTTTATACCTAAGATGGTTCTAACATTTCTAGCGATTACTATACGTCGATGTGCATCAGTTCGTTTCATTTGTTTGATTCCGAATTACCAACCAATTTTTTAATAATAACTTTATTACACTGCTAAAAAGTTTCAGAGGGTTTTTGTATGGTAAAGAACATAATTACAAAGAAATACAGATACACAAATTCAAAAGAGATAAAATTAAAAGGGAAAATAAAAGAAAAAATGTCAGTAAAATAAAAGAAAATGTTTAAAGTTTTAAATATTCTGCCATTACCTACATAATACATTACAGAATATGAAATTATGTTGTATATTATTATTTTAGATCAAGCAAATTTCACAACAACAACAGAACGACAGCTTAAAAGGTGTAAAAAGAACAGGGACATGTGGCAGGTATTGGAAAAAGAATCCGGATTTGCGACCCTATCGTCGTCTTCTAAAGCTGCTCCATCTGCAAGTACTACCAGATTCACAGATTCTGCGCAACTGGTAGATTCATCATCAAATTTCACCACAGCCAATCAGAAAGGTTTTCTTAAATCACGAGGCGCCACTTCCAAAGTTTCAAACATGGAAGGACTTCCTCATCCAAACTATGGTGCCTTTCAAGAAAACTGTACCGACTATAAGGAATCTGACGCCTCAGATTCGTACAGAACTAAGTCTGTAACTTTTGATTGTATCGTAGATGCTTTACAGTGGGCTGCTTGTGCTAAGGATTCACATATGTCTCATCCAAGACCCGAGGATCCCACTCCACCGCACAGTGTCTTAGAAGCAGACCATATACAGGTACTCGTAACAGGGAGTCTTCACTTAGTCGGTGGCGTCATCAAAGTACTTGACCCAGACATTGTAACTAAGGGCAATGTACATGACGACGATGACATCCATATATGCTAAAGTTGACACATATCTTTGGATATTTTCATTGTGGACTAAAAATAAAAAGCATGGCAGTTAAATAGTTTATGAACAATGAACTTTCCATATGATTATATTTTTTCGTAATTGAGTGTTTATTACTACTCAAGAATATGGTGCTGTGTTTTAGATATTCAGTGGAATTTAGATACAGTTGTGTATTCATGTTTGCGGTGATTTTCTGCTAAGAAAGTACATTTTTCTAAAAATGAAATTGGTAAATTTTGGATCTGTGTTTCTTGATCAACAATTTATTATTATTCGAACAGGGTACATGTAAATACTTTTTCTTGCCGAATAAATGAGGTTTACAGACATTGTATATTGCTAAAATATAAGAATGTCTAATTGCCAGACAATTTTTGTAGAGGGTGTACATTTATTTGAAGGAACTTTGTGAGTAATACATTTTTAACAAATTTATAAGAAACCCTTGAGGGTTTATGAAATAATATTTTGGCAAGGTTTAACTTTGGGGATTTCTGAGGATTTTTATGTATGTCTCGTGAAAAATGTTATAAAGTTTCAGTTTTGTGATTGATCTTGTACTTTCACTCAGTTTAGACCAGCATCGGAATACCATACTTGCTCTATTAGTGGTGCAGGCGCTTGGTCAAATGCACTTCTAAATGAAGGCTGGTGTACCACTATGCTGTTTGTGTCATGGTGAGATCTTGCGTAATGTGTGGATCAAACAGGTTTCTTTTTGATTTTGAATTTTTAATAGTTCAATTCAGTGTTCTCCCCAGGCCTATTAAGCATTTCGTGCCCAAGTCACTTAGACAAACAGCCGTGTCACTTTCGCTTCGGACGCGATCCTTGAAATCCTGTCAACGATACTTATTGTATTGTTTACAAGTGTCAGTCTCATATTGCACAACTTAAAAAAATAACGTGTGTTGATCGAAAAATAAATGTAATCCCGCTTTTGTTGGCCATACAAAACAGTGATAAAAAATCTACAAGAAGTTACCAAGTCTTTCAAGGGTGCGGAGCCGAAATGTTTAAAAACAACATCTCGTTAGCAATGTAATTTCTTAGATAATTGTCAATGAATCGTTATAATAATAAAAAAAAACATTCTAAATTTGTGTATTTTTTCACCAAAAAAAGTCAGATAGCAATGATCGCAACATCAGCTGACAATGTTACGGTGATCGTATCGTATCGTATCGTATCGCTACGCATGAGGTATAAGGTCAATAAACAATCGCAGACTTGAAATGTCGTTATAGAAAAGAAAATGTCATTACTGATTTATTAATTTCATCATATTTTGATAACTCGCAATCTCGCATACTTTACAAATTTAATCAAAAAATGTTTTCCCCAACATCATATAAACTGACACTGACATGGACACTAGAACTGACGGTACTTGTTGATGAACCAGTTACCTCCATGGATAACAATATATTCACTGACTGGCTAAAATACTTCCATTTTTTTTTTTCTGTTCTATTTCAAACTTTATTTGACTTGATACACACAAAAAATACAATGAAGTAAAATGGTATATGAGATATCTCTTCTTCATTGTATCACAATGTTTGTTGGGGAAACAAATTATTATGCAAATTGGATGTGTTGGTATGCAAATTAGCCACAATGCTAGACATTAAGTCTGGGGAGAACACTGAGTTCAATGTAAAAATACCAACATGGAGGTGAGCTTACCCTTACTTCATCAAATTCGTATAGCACATTATTAAGTGTGAAAATTTGTTGAATCACACTCAATTATTTTGATATCACACCAAATGCAGAGTCTTGAGAAGGGCAAAAAATTTTTTTTTTGGTTAAATTGTTTTGTTTTTTCAATATCTGATTGATATTGACTTTGTCTTCCCCAGAAAGTATCGGGCTGTGTGACCTTCAAGGAGTCGTCATGCTTACAAACCATTTTCACCAGGTCGCTTTCGTACTGCAAATTTTCCTTGTCTATGTGTTACCATTGTATGCATGCATGCCTATATTGCTGACAGAGATTGAAAAAAATGGCTTCATATTGATCGACGCTTAGCTTCGCAAATCTCAAAAAATGCTGGCATATCTCAATGAATTAGTACAACCAGCAGAAAAGATACATGTATATTATTGGTTATCACCAGGATAACCGCAATGTATGCGCTCCAGGCAGTATGGGATTGCATCAACCTCTACTATGTATCAGTAATTATATGTCATATTTTTGTGATAACCTTGGTAATTTTTAGTGTTGAACATTCACACAAATTTGACACAGAAGTGTATTATTGCTAGAATAGGGGGACTTATTGTTACTATTACTTGCTTTGTCAGACAATGTGACATTCGTATTAAGAATCACTGACAAACGCATGCTGAGACAGATTTTATATTATAGTGTGTTTTATAATTTTACTTTTTCTCTTGCTTGTTACAGATTTGTCCTCAGATTTGTTTTTGTGTGAGTACACATATTTTGAGTAAATAAGTAGAAATAGTTGTACATGTACTAGTAATTGTAATTTATATCTTACTACAATTCAAGTTACACTCTATACATCAAAGAATTACATTTTGAGTAATAAATTCCAGACTCCAGGTGAACAAACTTTGCAGTGCTTTAGGCCAGGGGGGAAAAATCTGTTTTTCGATACATTGAATTTTTTTTTACATGGCTTTGGAGAGATGATGAATAACACCTAGCACTGAATTTTGATTGAAATGAGAAATATTTTCATTACTGGTTCTGCTCAACTCAATTATAACTCAGATCAAAGAAAGCTTAGAAACAACTCCCGTGTGCTGAGAGTATTGGAGACACATTAAAAATTACTTGAACTTGAGATGTTGATGGAAACGCAGAAAACTAATTATGCAAATAAGGTTACTAATATGAAGACTTAAGTGTAAAACTAATAAGGTCTGCACAATGTACCAAGTTTCATTGAAATGTGATGAGAACCAAAAATATTAATTATTATGCTAATTAGAGAATTAATATGAACAGGTTTTAACCCAAAATTATTCAGGCTGTCTAGAGCATTTATGTACCAAGTTTTATTCAAATGTGATGATCAATACTTGAGATATCAGTATTAATTAATTATGTTAATTAGGTAATTAAGAAGCATAAATATTTACCAAAAACTAATATGGTGTATAGTCCTAGGTTCATTGAAATGTGATGGATACTCTTTAAAAGTTGCATTGAAATCAAATGAGTGGTTTTTAGACATCAGTGCAACAGCCAAAGAACAGCAAAAAATTAACTAATTATGCAAATTAGGTAATTAATAGGCACAATTATTTATCCCAAAATTAATCAGGTCTCTGCATAGAGTATTAGTCCTAGAAAATCTGTGTCGCAAGTTTCCCTGAAATGTGATGATTAGTACTTGAGATATCAGGTGAAAAGCTAAAAATTAACTAATTATGCTAATAAGGTGATTAATATGCACAAATATTTACCCAAAAACTAAGTAGGTCTCTGCACAGTCCTCAAGTAACTATGTACTAAGTTTCATTGAAATGTGATCATTACTACTCGAAATAACAAAAGCTGAAAATTAATTAATTATGCAAATTAGGTAATTAATATGTACTGATATTACCCTAAAAACTATCAGGTCTGTTCAGTGTCATATGACATCTATGTACCAAGTTTTATTGAAATGTTATGATTAGTACTTGAGATATCAGTGGAAAAGCCGAAAATTGAATAATCATTATGTAAATTAGGTAATTAATAATATTAACAGATTTTTACCCAAAACTAATCAAATCTGTGCACTAGTTCAGAGCATCCATGTGCCAAGTTTCATCAAAATCCAATGAGTGGTTCTTCAAAAAACAGTGGAACAGTCATAGAACAGCTTAAAATTAGTTAATTATCATGCAAATTAGGTAATTAATATTCATAGGTTTTTACCCAAAACTAATCAAATCTGCGCACTAGTTCAGAGCATCCATGTGCCAAGTTTCATCAAAATCCAATGAGTGGTTCTTCAGATATCAGTCGAACAGTCTTGGAACAGCTAAAAATCAGCTAATTATCATGCAAATTAGGTAATTAATATTCATAGATTTTTACCAAAACCTAATTAACTCTGCGCATTATCCCAGAGCATCTATGTACCAAGTTTCACCAAAATTTGATTAGTGGTTCTTGAGATAACTGTGGAACAAAAAAAAGTGACAGACATACAGACAGGGTAACTGCAAAGACTCCCTTTTGTGCTTCGCATACGGGAGTCAAAAATGACGTTGTAGTTTTGTATTGAAAATGTTCCTTGCACAGAATTTTTCAGGATAGATTGTTGGAAACAGTTTTGTTTTTCCACCTGGCTTTAGTATTGAATGGACAATGCATTCCAGGCACACATATCAACCATTCAGGGAATGTTGCACGCAGGCTAAAAAAAACAAATTTTTCCAGAGTTGTTAAAAAAAAGTGTTGTAAAAAGTAAATTGTCCTCGTAATTCTAATGTGTTCTGCTGATGACTGATGCTTTAACAATCTGGAACTTGGTAATACATGTAACGCTCATCTCAGTCTACTTACTGCCAAGCGTGTTTGTTAAATCTGCTAGGATTGTAAACTAACGTTTTTCCCGCTCTTACTCGATTTACTTGTTTTATTTCTCAATAAAGTTCATATTACTTGCCACAAATTTTACATATTAGTCTGATCTTGATATTATAAGATCTATGATTCAGTCAAGCTTTAATTACCGGTCTCATCAAAATGGGGATAAAGATGTGTAACTAAGGTAACATGCATATAGACTCCACGAATGAATCGTCAAATAGCATTGTTTAGAATTTGTGCATCTTTGCCACATTGCATAGAATCTCATATTGAATATTACATTTTGAAATGATTATTTCAGTTTCTACAGTTTCACAATACATGCATATTGTGATTCTGTTGGGCAGAATATATTTGATAGACACACCTATGTTAAGTAGCTCTGCCGGAAATATCCTGCCAGAGCCCTGGTACAATGAGAAGCGGTTTGAAACGCCCACACTTAGGCAAGCTTTGTGCATGAATCTTTTCACAGTTTAGCTTGACAGGTATTCGTTCCTGTCGTTATTGATGCATCTTTGGATAATTTGATTTAGTTTCGGAAAACTAAAAGCCTAAAATCAGTCAAGAGTTATTACACATGTACCTAAGCACTATAGCCGCCATAACTAAACTCCATTATTACATATGTACTGCAGTTTATTTTGATTATTTTCAAAAAATACTGACAGGGGTGTGTAGCTGGTTGTTTGAAACCCCTACCCCTTATCAAACAGAGATAAACTCAAATTGCCTACCCCTTTTCAGACAATCTGTGGATATTT